ACAGCGAATTTGTAACTTACCATTTGTCTAGGATAAACACCTTTGCCCGGCACCTCCACTGGTTCTTCATGTCCGCTATCTGTCACTGTTTGCAAAATATATAGTTGGGATCCATTTGCTTGATATTGATAAAATTGTTGGTGTGGCCATCGGGCATTTTTCACAATGATTTCATCCTCAATCGAAAACAAATCGTCTCTAGAGGAAACCCGTTTCAGCCGTCTTGACTGCCGTATCGACAAGACGCTCTGGACCGGCCATGGTATACATAGATGAACTCGATTGAAGTGAGGCCCTGATAGAAGCTTTTCTAGATGAAAACACGATCCGTGTGTTTTTGCTGCGATTCAAAATAGACGGACTTAGTTTTGCTAGGTTTGAAGAGATTCACGATTCGGATAATACTTACAGAACTTTTCGAATGATCCCCAACACCGGTGGGTATGCGTTTGTCGTTTTCAACGTCTTGATGGAATCCTTGTATCACTAGTTTTATGTATGACATTCTCTCACTAGTTTCGTTTGTGAGTAAACAAAGTATTGACCCGAGTAGTACACCTTAGAAACGATCGGTAAAATGTCAACACTCAACAGTGATGCCGTTTTATATTATATTGTTTATGTTCTACTTGTCAAAGTGTACCTTAATGTGCCGAACAATGTGTCATGCTGTGTTTCAGCACAGTGTGCAGAGCTCATTGCCCCTTGCAATATTCTTTATTTCTGAAATTTTGTTAATCAAATATCAATTTACCCAGTTGACTCTTCGACAAATAAAAAGGGAAACTACAATTTCTTCCAACGAGAAGTCAGAAGTCTATTCAAAAGATTCCAAGTCCATTCAAAGCTTAAACAATAATAATTTATTTAGTGAAAAAGACGATTTGGGTTTGATGCTCAGATTGAATTCAAGCTGTCCAAATGAAAGAAAAAGATTATTATTCGGAATAAAAAAAAAAAGTATAACATATTTTCCCCTTTTTTTGAAAATTTGAAAAATCTGTATATTTTTGAAAAATCTGTAATCTGTATATACAGATATCTGTACTAAAATAGTGACAAAAATCTGTATGATTACAGATAAATCTGTATATGCGGCATCCCTGAAGACGACTGGACACCACCACACACGGTGATTGGAACCACCCCTCACCACGCGGTGATTGAATAAACACCGTATGGTGAGATCAGATGGAATTCAACTTTGAAATCTGTGTTAGGGAAATCGCTTTTCGCAGGCAATCGGTGATAATTTTAACTATCATAGCAACAGTTGCACATTCGTGCAATTTTCGATAGTGAAATTTTGAAAAATGATAAACTTTTAGACAAGGTTGCAAAGACTCATTTCAGCTAAAATAATGTTTTTCGGAATAATAAAACCAAAAGATGGTATGATGGCATGTTTTACTTGTAACTTACAAGAAGAGGTTACAAAGTATGCGTTGGAAACATAAAACCTGTAAATTTTGCTTTCTATGAGTCACAATCAGCAATTTGCTGATCGCTGAGTGAGTGAGTGAGTGAGTGAGTGAGTGAGTTTGTGAAAAATCGCTGATTGTGACTCTCATGAAGTGAAATAAACAGGTTTAATATGTCAAACACATTCTTTGCAACCTCTTTTTGTATCCTCCCAATTCAAAATTTGATCATGGCATCTAATTATTTCATAATTTAGAAAAAAATTGTTTTAGCTGAACTGAGTCTTTGCAACCTTGCTTTTAGAACTCACAGATGCGTAGAAATATTTCTGATCGATTGGTGTTAGAATTATTGAAGTTGATTCAGGGGTAGCTGAGTTATTAACGTTCAATATATTTCATAATTTTGTTACATGTTCCATTTTCGGTTTTCACAAAGTGTACCCCCATATAGAAATTACAGACGTAGTCCTACGTCAAAAATATTCTTCTTTTATATGCAGACGACATGAAGCTCTTCGTGGAAATATGTAATTCTAGCGATGCAGAAGAATTCCAGAGTGAAATCAATATATTCAACACTTGGTGTATTTAAAGTCTACTGAAACTAAAAAAAAATACCGCAAAAGCATGTAGCAGAAAATTTGAAACACCTCATATTGGAATAAATATATAAGCAACCAAATAGTAGAAAAATGCAAAACGACAAAATGACGGTGGAAAGTTATGGGCCCGAAAACTGTACACCCAGATGCTGACGAAGCCTCAATGTCTCATCATTGATGATTAGACTTTCGTCAAGGCGGACTTTCGGCAGCTTCCGGGGCTACTGTTCTACACGGCTCAGCACAAGTTTGATGTACCCGAGGAAGTAAGGAAGCAGAAATGTTAAAAGCTTGCCAAGAAATACATGATTTGGCAAGCAATCTGCTGATGAGGCACACGGAGTGCGTCGTTCGTGACTACTGAAGCAACCCGAGGGCCCTACGATCTTTTGGCCGGATCTAGCTTCGTGCCACTATTCAAATGTTGTCCTGGAGTGGTACGAAGCCAACGGGGTCACTTTCGTTCCCAAGGAAATGAAGCCCCCCAACGCACTGGAACTAAGGCCCATCGAAATATACTGGGCTATTATGAAGCAGGCACTACGGAAGCATTCCAAGATGGTCAAAGCTGAGGAAGACATGAAGAAAAAGTGGGTTTCTGTAGAGAAGTAGCTGCAGACAGATGTTATACAGGACTTAATGAGTGAAGTTAAGCGTAAGGTACGAGCGTATGGTTATGGTATTGAAGTTGAATGAAATAAATATGTCAAAAGCTTACTAAGTGGATATATTTCATTGTCTGCAAGTTTTAAAAGGTTCGGTAAACTAGATAATTTTCTACGGCGTTTTTACCGTGATGAAATTTGATGCAGGACACCCTTTATACCGTGAAGTATTGTTGAACAACACGCACGTGCATTGTGACCATCGCGTGTGTGTATCTTGCAGTTAAACAGGAGGTTCGATAAGTCACAGACAATGTTTTTTTTTTCTCCTCTGTTCGGGACATAAAGCTACTGTGACCAGTAATTTGATCTAAATATTGTAGTATATTCCGTGTCCTTAGTTTAGTACATGTCGTATTACTTCATCACTATTGAAAAATGATGAAGCATTCGGTTTTGATACAGTTGTCATTCTTGCCTTCATCGCAAGGAATCGATTCTAATTGAAAGGTCCCGCTATGTATACCCTTCGGAGTGTTGAAACACCCTCCAAAGGCGCGCCCCTTTGTCAGTTAAAATTTGATTCCTCAGCAACAAAAACAAGCAATGACACCGATAATTTCCGTGTATCAGAATCCTAGTCTTAACCACTTCAACCTAGAGAACAACGAATAGAAGATTAGGAACCACATAGATGAAGACTACACACTAAGATTATTTCACCGAAATCTGTGAAATTTTACCGAAATCTCAACAGTTGAACGTTCGGTAAACAGTTCGGTGATATTTCACAAATTTCCTGTAATTTTTCACCGAATATCTGTAATTTGTGAAACATCACCGAACTGTTTACTGAACGTTCAGCTGTTGAGATTTCGGTAAAATTTCACAGATTTTGATAAAAATAATCTAAGTGTGTAACTAACTCATTTTTTCCTTGTTTCGGCTGCTGCTGGACACGGGTGCTTCGTAGAGTGCACTTACAAGATAACAACTCTGGAGAGCATTTTGGGTGGTTCTGAATATGGCGATTAGTGTGCAAAATGTTACGCAATTGCGCCCTCCCTATTCGCACACGCCAGCAGAGCGGAGGCGAATGCCACTTCGACATGTTTCGTCTAGAAATGATTCTCTGATGGGGAAGCAGCATATGAATGTACGTAGTTGGTGGATTTGTTAGTTATTTCGACGCTTTTGAATAATACTTGACATTTACCTCTTTTTCAATAGTTTCTTGTAAAACAACAGTCTGAGGCATTGGTATCGATGCGTAGACATATTTCTGATCGATTGGCGATAAAAATTTCAAAATTGGTCCAGGTGCAGCTGAGTTATTAATGTGCAAAATCTTTCATAATTTCGTTGCATGTTCCATTTTCAGTTTTCACAAAGTGTACCCTCATTTAAAAATCACAGACGTAGTCCTACGTCAAAAAATCGTAACGGCTTCCTCTATCCTTCTATGGATCACTCTGTCATCCATAACAACGCTTCACTTCTTCTGGACAATTACAGCTCAGTCAATCTTTTTGAAATATCCCAACAAATAATTTCTAATCCCAACAGTTCTACATTCAATAACCATAGAGCTGATAGGGAGCAATATGGAGCATTTATGGATTTTTTTTTAAATTATAGTCACTTCAACACTTTTGGATCATTCGTGACTCTGGGGTGAGATTTGAACTCGTGACTTTGGCGTCAGATGTATGGATGCTTACCACTGCTGCCTCAATACCAAAATGTTCGGATAAATTCGATTCAATTATAATAGATGATGGCCTTCAGCTCTTGATCCGTCTGAAAAATTTCCGTAGGCGGAAATACCAAGGAATACGCTATCCTACCATGAAAGCTATCTGGCGCGGTGTGCGAAAACAAAATAAAAAGTGATTCTCTGCCCTGAGGAAAAAAACTTTTGAAGATAACCCGAGTTCCAAACCCTTTTGGACACCCACAAAAATTTTGAAACAACCTCAAAAACTTATTCCAGCGCTTAAAGAAGGTGGTACAATTTTGATAACAAATTCGTAAAAATCTCAGAAACTTGCTAAGCAACTCCCAACGTTTCAGTTTGGGTCTTACTAGTCCTATTTAGAATCATTTTCATCTATTCAGAAATTTCATAGTATGAAAGCTCCAGGTAATGATGAAATTTTCTGTATTCTCATCAAAAACCTACTTTTCTTGGTGAAATTATTTAACAGATGTTTTCATTTGGCATACTTTCCTGATAAATGGAAAAATGCAAAAGTTGTTCCAATTTTGAAGCCGGATAAAAATCCAGCTGAAGCTTCTAGCTACCGTCCAATAAGTTTGCTTTCATCAATAAGTAAACTTTTTGAAAGGAAGGAACTTCGGTATCCCACTCTAGAGCCAGCAGCCAGAGATGCTGCATGAGGATTTTTGGTTGTACTACGACGGGAGCTATGATTCCGAGAGGGTCGTACAGTCGAGCGATAGCTGAAAGAATGCTGCGCTTCGTAGGTGTTTGATTATCGATTACGATTGACGTATCAAACTTGAAAACGTCCGCCTCAGGTTCCCAACTGATGCCAAAGGTTTTGATGGATTCATCGGGGCCGAATTTTACAGAAGATTGAGTGCCCAGAAACTCTGGAGGAAGACCAGCCAAGACCGGTAGGGAGTTCGAACACCACTTTCGCAAACGAAAACCGCTCTTTTGCAACATCTCCGTCAATTCTGTGCGTAGTTGGATTGCATCCTTGATTGTGTTCTCGCCACAAATAAAGTCGTCCACGTACACATTCTTTCGAAGAGCCTTGCTTGCTTTCGGGAATTCACTGCCATGATCTTCCACCAACTGCAACAGGGTCCTCGTGGCCAGATACGAAGATGGTGCGAGTCCATAAGTAACGGTACAGAGCTCATAAGCTTTAACGGATCCACTACTGCTGGGTGGCCATAGAATCTTCTGCAACGACCGATCTGCACGATGCACCAGTACCTGCCGGTACATCTTCTCCGCATCCGCCACTACTGCGATCATGACCATCCGGAAACTTAGATGAATGTCCAGAATGTCGTCCTGAACCACTGGTCCAACTAGCAGCGCATCGTTGAGAGAATGCCCGGTGCTAGTTTTTGCTGAGCCATCGAACACAACTCGAACCTTGGTCGTCGTGCTCGATTGCCTTACCACGGAATGGTGCGGAAGATAGCAACTGGTTGAACTATTCTCGTCGTCATCAAGAGCGGGAACCATATGGCCGAGACTGATGTACTCGTCCATGAAAACGTGATACTGAGTCTTCAGTTCTTCATCCTTCTCCAGTCTATTGTCCAACCACTTCAAACGTCGCAGCGCATTGGCTGATCATCTGATCGCATTCGGGATGCTTGGGCATTCGAACAACATATCGTCCGGAGGGATCACGGGAAACAGTCTCCTGGTAGAAATCTTCACATTTTTGCTCGTCGACCGAGTAGTTTGAGCCGCTTACATCTTCAATCTGCCAAAATCGCCGCATGACAAGTTGCTGTCGGCTGCTGGGAATGCTCGCGGGACTCATCGATGTTTCCAGACGCAATCCACCCAAATACAGTTTCGACGAACAGAAGACTTGGGAGATGGAACCGGCCATTCCGCAAGAAAGAGTAGAAGTGAGCAGCACCAATAATCATATCTACCCTTCTAGGAGTGCCAAAGTCGGGATCGGCTAGAATTAGATCGTCAGGAAGCTTCAATTCAGCCGCATTGAATGGTACGGATGGAGTGTCACTGGTCACTTTCCGCACCACCAGGAAATCAAATACTTCACGGAAGTTGAACACGCGTGATCGAACTTCGGCAGACACTTCGTGCTTGGCGCTCGTAACAGCCCCATCTACGCCAGCGATTGGCACGTTGACGGACCTACGGCTCAGGTGATGTTTCTGGCAAAGTCGTTCGCTAATCGCATTCGTCTAGGATCCAGTATCCAACAAGGCACGGGCGACGTGTTCTTGACCGTAAGCGTCTACTACGATCACTACTACTGTGGTCAGAAGAACGCTAGCTGATTGGAATACAGCCTTTGTAGACGGGGGCCCGTCGTTGGGACCAGAAGAAACGACAGTGAGAACGTTCGAAGGACCTGGATTGGCAGTTACAGCTATCGTCGAATTGAGTTCATATGTTCCGGGGTGAATCATAGAGTGGTGGCGTTTCGAACATTGCTTGCAGCTGTACTTCGATCGACACGCGCCAGCAAAATGATCGCTTCGGAAGGCGGTTGCTGCACAACTTCTTCTCTGTTATGACCTTTAAACGATTCTTCGGATCCATGCTGTTGAAAGCGGGGCAGTCGTACAACGAATGTTTTTGCTTCTCGCAGGCAGGGCACAGCGGAAATGCTTTCGGCAAGGCTTCAGTAGCTGCGTTAGTACTCACGCGAGGTTCACTGGGACGCTTTGAGGCAGAAGACTGACTCACTGACTTCATCTGGTTGTGGTGTGGACGGTTGATCGAGATTGTCTCCAATATGCGCGCTCGCCTTTGGAGGAACTCAATCATCTTTGTGAAGGTGGGTTCATTGTCAGTAACAATAGATTTTTCCCACGCAATGAGAGAGACATCGTCTAGTTTGTCCTCCAACAGCTCCATTAGGATGGAACTGTAATGCTCGACGGGCTCCCCAAGTTGCTCCAAAATCTTGGTATGTCGTTGGAATTCATCCACGACCTTATGCAGGGCTTCGACGGACTGGTAACGATCTTCGGGTACTTCAGTAGAGCACGGATGTGTTTCTTTCGCCGAAGGGCTTTGTTGGAATAACGTTGCACCAACGTGTCCCAGGCGACGGTGTAGTTGTTCGCAGTGATTGCAATGGACTGGATTAGATTGGCAGCTTCTCCTTTCAGTGACGCTCTGAGGTAGTGGAACTTCTGTACGAACGAGATCTCCGTGGACGAGTGGATCATCGACAGGAAGGTGTCATGGAAGGTTAACCAGTTGTTGAAGTCTCCATCAAACTCAGGTAGAGTGATTGTGGGAAGCTTCACGTTGGTTAAAGTTGGTAATTCACGAACTGCCACAGAAGCTCGTGGCATGACAGAAGCAGCTGGTGGTAGCCTCGACACCAAACCTGCCTTTGCTTGGAAATACTTCTCCTCCATCTGGGCTCTGCACCGCAAACTCTTCGCTTCAAGTTCTTCACTGTCGTCCAACTCTTCGCAATCGGATTGGACTATTTCGAATGATTCCCAAATCTTCTCCAGGCGTTCCAGTCTATGAGGAACTTCAGCTTGATGTTGTTCGGGATCATAATTCTGAAGGAACAGGATCATCCTGTCCATGGCGTCGACTACATTTTTCCGCTTCTGCTCCTTTGCTTTCTGCTTCTTTTCGTCCGGCATCTATATGCGGCAATTTTACCGGCGACGTTGGCGAAGCTGAAATGGTCGAAAAGAACCAAGAAGCACCACAAAACTAGACGTAAGCGTATTGGAGAGGTACTCACCTGGTACCTCTTGGAATGAGGCCTTGGATTTTCAATAAAAACAGCAATACGGTCCAAAACCTCCGATGTGTGTTCGCAAATCAAGGTTATGCGCAACACGTGTAACGGGACGGGAACTATTTTTCCAGGAGTATCCTGGTCACGGCACCAAAATGTTGTATCACAGGTGACTCACTATGGAACTTGTCAGGATATGCAGGTAGTTTCAGGTTCGGGTTTCTCTCTTCTTCCTCCTTTCCAAAGACGTAACTCGGATAAAAGAAAAAAACACCTGCTCCTTACTTTCACTTTCTACGTTGTGACTATTTTCAATGGCAATCCAAACAAAGGCAAAATGTAAACAACGGAATCTAATTAGAATGTCAATAGCACAAACCGAAAGATGATAGCGGAGCCAGTGGAAATGAAACTAACCTATCCACGCCATCTATACTAAAGAAATATTTCTAAATTACAGAGACAATCCAATTTTATATCCTATCAATTATGTTGTATAAATTGATGCTTCACATCAATACGAACTAAATTTTTGCAGATGAGCAGTTTAGATTTTGCCATGGGCATTCAACCACTCATCAACTCTTAAGAGTTATCAATTTAATTCGTTCAAACAAATCTGAAGGCTGCTCAACTGGAGTTGCTCTTCTAGACATAGAAAAGGCATTCGACAGTGTTTGGCATGAAGGTTTGATTGGTAAATTGAAAAGGTTTAATTTTCCACTTTGTACTATGAAATTAGTTCAAAAAATTTTAACTGACAGAATTCTGTAGGTAAATTATCAAAATTCTAAATCTGAACGACTACCTGTTAGAGCAGGAGTTCCTCAGGGTAGTATTCTACATGTATAACATTTTAACTTTGGACCTCCCTGATTTGCCTCAGGGTTTCGTTTTTGAAACCTAGTAGTAGTCACATAGCTACTATGGACGGAGGTCCGATTTCCTGGTCAAACCTAGGGAAATATCTTGCATTAGAACTAGACTAAAAATTAACTTTTAAAGATCACATTGAGGACATTCAAGCCAACTGTAGCAAATATATAAAATGTTTGTATCCTCTTATAAACAGGAAATCCAAACTTTGCCTGACGAATAAGCTTCTAATATTTAAACAAGTTTTTAGACCGTCGCTGTGCCAATATGATCTAGTTGTTGCACTACCAGGAAAAATCACTTCAAAGGATTCAGAACAAAGTTCTGAAGGTGATTTTCAAGTTGCCTCCCTGGTACAGTAATATAAAGAATGATAGCCTTTTTTGTCCCAGTCTTGCTGAAAAATCCAATCGTTCTTGCCGAAATGCTGTGATACCCAGGGAGCTACTAAGTCAATCAACAGCTTCTTTCTGATACAATGCTTTGTTCACTTTTACCCCTTTGACAATGGAAGTCAACTGCAACTGCCGATCATTCTAGTGGCTGTGAAATTTTTTTCATCGGTGAACAGCACTGACTGATGGCGGCCCTTGGACAACCGATTCAGAAGAACCTTAACTTTTCTGAACCGATTTGTTTTCATGGTGTCATTCAAGTGGTGCTTTTGTCATAGTTTATATGATTTAAGCTTCAAGTCATCATGAACTATGGCAGCATCAAAAGATTTCGACATTTCCAGTGATTTCGCCAACTTTCGGATGGAAATAGTTGAATTCGATTCCTCACCGGATTGTCTCGTGCATTTGTGGAGTCCTAACGGTGCGTCTTTTTTCCTCTCCCGAAGCGGTCCTCTAGCGTTCCAAGCTCCTGGAATCGGTCTCAGCGTCTTTGCAATCTCTGACACAGTATTTCCATGACGAGAAAGCTTAACAACAGCTCTGCGCATAATATTCGGCTTCATTTTGCAAGAATTTTAAAACACAACTTTACCAAACCTACTGCGTGTAAAGACAAGATATTAAACAAGGCATCCCAACTAACATTTTCAGCTTTGTAAGCCAACTTTTCCAGCGTTGTGCTGTAACGTAGCTGAAAAGAAGCTGCAGATACAGCTACAAGCTGAAGCTAGCAAAATAGTTTTGGAGAGCGTTTACTCAACTTTTTCACAACCATTATTCAATTTGTCAGTCGCACTGAATAACAACAGCCAAAAAACGTTAATGTCTCTTTTATACACATCCCAACTAACATTTTCTGCTTTGTAAGCCAACTTTTGCAGCGTTGTGCTGTAAAGTAGCTGAAAAAAAAGCTGCAGATACAGCTACAAGCAGAAGCTGGCAAAATTGTTTTGTAGAGCGTTTACTCAACTTTTTCACAACCATTATTCAATTTACCAATATCACTGCATAACAACAGCCAATAAACGCTAATGTCACTTTTATTCACATCCTAATCAACTTTCAACTTGTAGCTGCAAAACAAAGCTAATAAAGTGAATATATTACTCATTTGATGGCTTCTACACAACCAACCATTATTGCTGAATAACATAAACATCAAAAGTTTTTTTTCAACAGCTAAACATCCTGTACTCAGCTAATAAACTGTGTTAGAGCTACTTCGGAAGCATTTTCACAGTCAACTAGGTTTATTTTTAGACGCGTGCAATTTTACAGCTTTCCTTTACAAAGCTGAAGTAACTAGTCGAGAAAAGTGATTCATGTGCACTATTATAAAGCATCTACTCAGCGATTTTGTTGTAGAAGGGCATGTTGATTTGTTTACATCAGTTCAAAGTGTTGACGTAGCACAGTTGGTAGTGTCAAGGTTTGCCAAATGCGGTCGTCTCGAGTTCGATTCCAGGTTCCAGTGCAGGGTAAAATAATTTGGTGATGACTTGTAACTAATTTCGATTAATTTGATTTGTGACAGCAACATAAGCTCAATAAATTCCTCCATTAAAAAATCCTAAACAGTATTTAACCCGGCTTCAAGAGAAAGCTGTATAGTGATTATTGGATAGTCGAGTAAAGGTTGAATAAGCGCCTTTCAAGTTGACACACAGCTAAACAGCAGGATAACAGCTGTATAGAAGCGTTAATGGATACGCAATAAGAGCTTGTCCCAACTGTCCTAACAACCATAATTTGTTGACTAAGTTCGCCAGATTTGCTTGTATAGAGGTTGAGTAAAGGTTTCCTCATATCGTATAACGTTTGAATACAACTTGAGGTTGTATAAATGAAATGAGTAAAGCGTTTATATTGTGA